CTGCTGTAAATTCATACTTTCTCTAAAATAAATTAATTTAAAAAAAGTTAAAAGTAATTTTTTTCACATCTTTTATACGAAACATAGTATCATAGAAACTTTCGAAGATCTAATTGGGAGTTCAATTTGCCACAAAAAATTCATAAATACTAATTAAACAATTTATAAAGAATCAGAAATAGGCATAACGCGATCCTAAGGGAATCCAAACAGATCCCACTTGCTCTTTCCGACGTTTTTAAAAGCATTTTCAGATTTTTACTTTATCATCGGTAATAAATATCCAAATATCGTTACAAAAATAGTGTTAGCATTATTACAAGATTATTACACAAGGCTCTACATTACGATCAGTCAGATTTCCGGTATAAGGAAATAGCGGCGTTTCATCCTGTCAAAGGAGAGAAAAATTCGCGTTGGTCTGTTTCGCGATTTCCGCTCGCTCGCGTGAGCGATCAGATCTCGGGAGGGTCGTGATTCGAACGTTACAGACGGACGGCTGCGGCGGCATAAGCGGTGGTATAACGCAACAGATGCACGATATTTACATAATACGTCACTGTTCCTGCTGCCACACCCGCACGAACAGCCGCACGTGAATCTCTTTTTCTTCGCTCTTCCCTTGGCCATGTTCGCCGATGCGTTTTTCCCTTCTCTCTCTTTCTCTCACGTATAGAATTCGCTCTGCCGAATCTCCCTCTTGGAGGTAGCGTTCCGTATCCTCTCGAGCGTTGTTAGCGCACTGATGCACTATCGCGACGCGCCGTCCGGATAGCTCGTCCGGAACTTCGCGCGCAACGCGTGCTCTCGATATACAGGTGGCATGGAACGAATAGCGGCCTCCGATATATTTTTAACGACGAGATTTTTTACCGCGCACCGACGAATTGCAGGACGATTCGGCAACGTGTTCGCGTTATCGGCGTTCTCCTCTCTCTTTTCGTTTTTCGGGAAATCGGTCGACGCGTCCTCGACTCCTTCGCTCCTTATCGGCACCGACGGCTGATCGGCCGTGCGGCTTATCAGCTCGCAGGCCGTGGCCTCACTTTGAATATCGCACAGTGGCACACGGTCGATGGGGCAACCGGTGGCCGGCGGCTAAGCATCCACTCGATTAGATTCAATTCGTTTAATTGCGTTAAGCACACGGGCGCGTTGAATACTTCCTTTATTTTCGCGGCGCGGCGGTGGCGGTGGCGTCGACGGGGGTCAGGAACAGCGACTGCTCGAGCGGGGAAGATTGATACAGGTTCGACTGGCTCTCGTTAGGAACGTGACCTCATTCCGTGAATCACCAATTTTATAATAGTAACTGCCTTTGAGCTTTTCCCGCCACTTTATGTACCCCGCCGGCCCCGCGGCGCCTTTCTTCGCTCCGCGCCGCGCCGTGGCGAGAAAAATCGATGAGGGAAGCGTATTTCACTAGCGATTTTCGTAATAGTGGCGCCAATTAGTTGATAAAGCCAATTTGTAGCGTATCGCGACGACGTTATGTCGAAGTTCACCGTGCAAGAAAAAAGATAAAGACTCTCGTTTGCGTGAGCGCGAGATAATCGATGGAATTATACTTGTCGTTCGCCACGACCGTTCTTTTTCGTCCGCAATGTAAGTTAATCAATCGTACGAATTTAATTGCGATAATCATAGGTAACAGCTTTCGTAACTCGAGCAATTAGCGAAGATGAAATTTCGGGGGGAAATAACCCGTTTTTCCTGCGGACCAAATCCCTTGGCGGTTCCTCAAGTTCGCCGGTATTATTTTCAGCCGATTGACGATCGACCCCGTTCAAAATACGCTCGACGGACGCGATATCGTTCACGCGCGGCAAGTATGTACACGCGGCGAGCGTGGACGTCATCGACGCGTGCGTGAGTGCGTTACAATTCGCACGTTTTATTTTCTTCTTCACTGTTCCTCCTCTCAATCGACGGCCGCCGCGCGCGTGTATAAACGTTATATAAATACGAGATTATTTCGGTCCGGGATCCGTGTGTTTGGCGGTACGCCAAGGCGGCAGGGGTTGGACTGACTGCACTAATAACGCGGCTGCGACACGCACGCTGGCGATTGCATAACAGGTAGCCGAAGTGGAGGGCGGTACCGCGATGGTAGGTACAACAACTACAACTACGACGACGACGATGACGATGACGACGATGTGAACGACGTGAACGACGTCGAAGCGCGCTTCGGTCGGCTGATATAACGATCGCGCAACTCATTATGTAAATTGCATTAACGGTAACTGCACGCCCTATTCCCCGTTGCCTTTTTATTACGTAGGTAAAGTTGCGTCTACCAAAGGAGACCAGATCCCCCGCTCTGCGGAGTTAAATTCGTGTGCCTCTCTACTTCCGAAGCGAGCGATTTGGTGCGCGGGTTCGCTTTTGACACTTTTGACACGTGCAAGTGCGTATTCGGAGAGCTAGGAAATCCTAGGAATAATTAAATTCAGCAAATCTCGTGTGAATAAATGCAAAAACAGATAAAAATTTTCGTGTTAAATCGCGTGGTATCCACATGGAAAACTTTCTGGGATCCAGTCCGATTACTCCAAAAAATCATGGATTTTAGTCGATTCTGTTTTTCTATATTTGCATATAGAGACGAGTAATTTTTTAATTTTACCGAGAGAAACGCTTTTGAGCCTTGTACTCCAAGTGTCTGTCTATAAACATTGACGTTGCACAGAGTCCGCATGATGTTTTACTATTCATTATCTCAATGACGTCTTTTATGATTTTTTTTTTTACGGCAGCGGATGTGCTCCGTTACACGTTAACTAGCATTCTTCGACGTATTTCTGCAATAAATAAGAGCCAAGAGTGGTCGCTTCGGTTCTTTCGTTGTTTGTTGAACGAAGCTGCCGCCGCGCGCGCGCGGTAACGAAAGAATGCCAACCATTTATTATGCACGGGATAATGATAACGATCATACGCAGTGATACGCATATTACTTTTTATTGCGTCGGGAACGCGACACAACTGAAACCACATATAACGCGTCGGTGTCTACACGATCGTGAAGTATTCCATGAAAAGATTACGTAACAATGTCAGAACTACATTACAGATATCCTGATTGTGTCATAAATTTAAGATTATTTGCGTTTAAATCTGACCTTGTCTAGAGAATGATCTTTAAAAATATACCTAGAAATATAGTGCACTAGGTGCGTTCTAAACTCCTGATGTATTACGATGATATCGTTACGATCGACTGAATCACTATGCAAGAAGTTCCTTAGATTTTACGTTAAAATAGTAAAATATAATTGTACATATTATCAATAACGCTCTCTCTTATAGTAAAATATAATTATATTAAATAAAGCCTTCGTCTTAATAGAGCGTTTCCAATTACATGGAAGAGAGAATTAAAAATTGCGATGTAACTTGGGTGTTTCAAATATAATTGCGCTTGCAGGGTGTAATTTAGTGTATCGTCGAACTGCTAGCATGAAAAAAGACTTGCGGGGGGAGAGAAAGAGAGGGATGGTGGAAAGACGAACGCGAAAATAATAAATGTGTGACAGAAATAGCGGGCGAGGAATAGTTGTGTCTGTGCGTGTCTCTGTATGCAGATCTGATGTATGAAGGTTCGATCAAGTCGAAATGTACTCGTGAAAGAGTGGAGCGTGATCCGAGATGCGGATGTACAAACGCTGCCGGCGAAATAATAACGATGACGATGATCGATGCTACTCCCGATACTACGTCGTATATGCCGCTACGTCACGATGCTCTAATCGTCAAAAATAACGAAGCAGCTGCTCCCACATAGAAAACGTTCTGAGATCTAATTGGGACCCGATCCGATTTCCTAAAAGAATCTTGAACCCTGCCTGGGAAATCTGTGAAGATTCAGATCAGAAGCGCAATATTTTGCGATCTTAAATTAAATAAAAAAAAAAGTATGAGAGAAGATCCCACTTGCTTCTCCCGGAGTTCCTCTAGAACTTTTTCTGATTTTTATTTGGTCGTCAGTAATAAATGTTCAAATGATATAGTATTATTACAAGATGGTTCAGTTTTTCAAATTAAGTGAATTATTTATGAAGAGACTTCCGAACAGAAATGAAGTGTTCGCGCAAGCTAAAAAGACGAAAAATATATATAAAAATATATATAAAATATATATAAAAAGATATATAAAAAATATATATAAAAAGATAGATAAAAATATATATAAAAAGATACAAAAATCTCTTGCGACTCATAAATGTGTAAAATATTCGAATTGTTCTCAAATATAAAAATTTATTCTACGAAATAAAACAAAGATGCAATGTATTATGTTTATTCTTGAAAAAATTTAAGAAAGAACATTTATCTTAGCTTTATTACAGTAATAAAAATGATTTAGAACTATTACTTCTCTTCTGCTGATTATTTATAAAAGATACAATAATTTTCTGTGACATTAATTTTATATAAGTTTGTCTAGCTCTTCATAACTTTTAATCAAACAAACTAGAATTTTTTATAACTAGTAGATACTACTTGAAGTAATAATAATAAAAAATTAAATATCGCGCGATAGGTAACTCTCATGTTCGTTTTTATTGAATTCGATACATTGTATAAAAATGGTGCCATAAAAATATACCGATTTTATACCGTGAAAAAAGAGACGCAAATCTTCACGTTGTTTCTGTTGCGATTCTAGATAGAAAACCTCCGTATTTGGGATGACAATTCTCCAATTGATATCGCAAAACCGCAATAGCTCGACATACCAATTTGGACCGTATTCGTGCAGGCGTTCTGATCGGAATCTATACCTAGGAAGATTTTTGGAAATTTCTATGCGGGATGTCGCGGCAAGAGAACGACAATTAACAATGACATGTATCATTTCGCGATCACATCGTTCTGCGACAGTGCTAGCGTGGTACATACAATGTATAATCTACGCATATTTGCCGCGATTGCGTTCCGCGTTGGAACGCGTGAAGACAGAGAGAGAGTGTAACAGAAACAGAGTACAGACAACTTACGGGTATAGGTCATTTGGCCCTGGTAGTAAGAAGGAAGATACACGTGTTGCGCGTGCGGAGGCTGCCCGTACACATTCATGGCTGCCGTGCCGATTTCATCACCACCTACATACATCGTACACGCCGTCGAGGTAAGGTCATGGTTTCATCAGAACGCTATTTTCGCACCATATACACTGTTTGTTTTTTCTCTTTTCTCTAAGTTTCGCTCTCTATCACTGGGTTGTTAAAAAAAAAAAAAACTAACGCCGAAGCTACTATATATACGCAGGAGTCGGGAACGAGATGCGCGCGTGGCGCGGGTTCCGGCTTGTTCAATAAGCATACCGAGTATCGCTAATGTAAGTTACGAACCGAACTATGAACTACATCCTCTGTTCTTTGGGCGCACAAGTACGTCTTTCTACGCGCTCGACTACAGATAATTCTGAGATGGGAGCGAGGATATTTAAATGTCCCTACTGTCGGAAATAAACTCACACTAGAACAAAACTAATTCTTTAACAGGAAGTTTCTACATCTACAGGCTCTATGTCAATTTACATACATTATTAGATCAATAGACGATTCTTTAATTTAATACGTGATTTAATATATGATTTACGCGATCTTATAAGATCAATATATTATAATACAATATCGAACCCTTTTTGTTAAAACTATTTGATTCATATTTTATTCTTAAATGTACCTGTATACACGACCAGTTTTACGATCATTTATTCTTTTCTTTAATTTCGACAGAGGTATAATGTACAACAACCCAGTGAATATTGGCTAACTGCATGCTTTTGCAAAATAACATGAACGCAACAATCAAGCAAATAATAATTCCACGTAACATTTTGATATCGACTTCGTAACTTTTGTAGACAGATCTAAGAACTTAGACCTTTGATAGAGCTAATTTTATCTTCTTGAAACTCGCGATTTTTTCTATTTATCCTGACTATCTCATATAGTTTATACCGTTGTGGTCGTGTGGGTCGGGAGAGGGTCAGATCAGTCTCTATTGGATAACTAATTGTAAGTTTCACATGCTAATGGTGTTCGCGTCATGCATCGTACATGCGGAAAACTGTTTCGTTCTCAGAACTCTACCGCTAATTCAGTACTTCTATCTAATCTTCGCATTACGAATTGGACGAATATTTACCCGTCGATTTACGCATATAAATATATACTTGTACTTCTACTTTTAGTTTGTTTTTCGTAATTCTCTAACATTACGTTTTCGTGATTCTCCTCCATGCAATGATTCATTATTTTTACTTTTCTGGCGTGCAATTACTGTATCTACCGAAAAGCTTCACCTTCGTTTTAATCTTATTTTATCTATATAATATACGCGCGGTAATACGTTGCGAGAATGTGCCGCTTATACCGCAGGTAGATACATTTAGAAGGATATAATTTCGTCTTAAGGATTAAAAAAGTTTATCAGATACTATCGTTTCTACGCATGTTATCAGCTTAAGCAAAATTTACTATTGATAGCACTATTGTACTATCAATTTTTATTTTCTCTCACATGTATCATTTCTACTTTATGTCGATGCTAAAACCCTAATGTGCGAGGCAAAAATAATTCTGCTAAGCGATAAGCTATCAAAATACATGTTTATAAAACTTATTGCGATATCAGAAACAAGCTGTTTTTGAAACAAGTTGTTTCTGAAACAACTATAATACTATCTTATGCACGTTAAGTACATGATAAGTTTTTATAATGGTTTGTTTCAATAATTTGTTTTGTTCCAATATCGCAAACCTTAAATTCGTCAATAAATTATGCAACAAATAGAAATAGTAAGCAGTAAAAAAATAATAAATGGTTTCGTCATTAAATACGAGTACTCACCGCCCTCGTCTTCGCTGTCACTCATAAATGTCTCCTGCATAGATTCGGGTGCCTGAACTTTGTATTTCTCTTCAATGGTGACGGTATGAGTTGTGGTGATAATAGTCTCTGTGACAACTTTCAGCGTTTCAATGACACTTATGTAGCCGAGCTTTTGTGCGATATCCAGAGCAGTCTGTCCATTCTGTGAAAAATAATTTACATTGAGTGTGATTATATATTATACTCTGATAATGTACATAATTTAAAAACAATGGAATGAAACACTTACATTAGTTACAGCATTCGGTTTAGCTTTACTTTCCAACAGCAGGTTAATAACAAGCGTATGTCCTTGTTGCGCGGCTTGGTGGAGAGGAGTATAGCCAGCATTGGTGCTGCTGTCAACGGCAGCACCAGATCTCAAAAGGAATCGCACCATAGCTGCCTGACCAAAATGAGACGCCACGTGCAATGGCGTATATCCAGCCTGGAAAAAATACAATAAGACATAAGATCTCTTTTTTGCATTGCTGAATGTAATATCTATTGAATAATTGGATTTAATTTTGTATATAATTTCACGAGTTATTTTACTATTTAATCCAATACGTCTTATTTGTAACGATCCTTTAAGACAGCAGTCACACTACTGCACTGCACTGTGTCATGTAGATAGGTGTTATTTCAAAGTTATCAATGGACATATAGAGCAATGAACAATCACTTGTGAAAATTACATCATCTGTGGTAATTTAATTATGTATAAAATGCTAACACACTGTAACTAAAGACACAATCGTAGTCGCGTTGATTACTGTAATCACAACGAATACTTATTTTTAGCTGTGTAAATCACTTCGGGAAGTTTACACATACACGAAAGTTAGAGAAAGGCTTATCAGTTATGTTACCTTAGTTTTAGCGTCGATCTGAGCACCATTCTTCACAAGAATGGAAGCGACGTTTACTTTATCTTCTTGTGCGCATAAATGTAGAGGCGTAAGGCCATTCTGTAAAGTGTAAAAATAAATATAACGTAAGATTTTATAAATAAAAGTTAGTTGAAAATTACATTGTGTTCCTTTTTTATCTACCTTCGCTTTGTGATTCGTGTCTGCTTTATGCTCGATAAGAAGGGTTGACATATCAGTATGGCCTTCTTGTGCGCTCAAATGTAACGGTGTGAAACCAGCCTTTGATTCTGCATTAGCTTTCGCTCCGTATTCTAGTAAAGTAGTCGCAATGTCCATCTATTGAAAACAAGAGTGTGATTTTATTTGCCATGATAAACACTCTTAATAACTAAAGTTGTGTGAACGTACCTGATTTTTGCGTGCAGCGATATGCAATGGTGTATGGCCATTTTTAGCCATCGCATGTGGTGAAGCTCCTTTATCGAGTAAAAGTAAAGCCACGTTTTGATGATCGTAATGAGAAGCTACATGAAGAGGCGTTACCCCGTTCTGCAATTAACAGATAAAAAAATATTTGTCAAAATGTTACAACACATAAAATAATGTGACATGATACGTGCAAGTTAATTAACTTTACTACTATTAGCTTTAATTGTTAAATTTAAAAAGCCTTACCTTTCCTTGAGCGTCAACAGGCGCATTCTTTTGTAGTAACAATCGTGCTACGTTCATATTGCCATATTTGGCCGCTAAATGCAAGGGAGTAAATCCTTTCTTGGTCGTTGCGGTAAGAGAGGCGTTATTTTCTAATAAAACGGATGCAACCTGTGTGCAATCATAGATACGCATTATAAAAGAAATCTGTTTCTTACGTTATATATGTAACATTTTATAATCTTACCTCCTCTTGACCTTCTTTAGCAGCGATATGAAGCGGTGTATACAAATCCTTCGTTGTAGCATCTACTCCCGCACCATGCTGCAGCAGTAACATCACAATGTCGACGTTACCCAAGCGGGAAGCAACGTGAAGCGGTGTCTGTTCCTCCTACAAACAATTCATATTTCTTTATATCCGCACTATTATATAACAAATTTATCTTCGACGATGAAAGTACTCATATTAATTATTATTAATCAAGCACAGTACTTACTCTTGCTCTAGCGTCGACTTGGGCGCCGTTTCTAAGAAGTATCCTAATAATATCAGTTTGGTTCGCTCTGGCAGCTAAGTGTAACGGCGTTTCGCCTCTCACTGTCGGTATATCGGGGCTGGCTTCGTGTTGCAATAAGTAAATCACGATATTCATACATCCCATAAAACTTGCTACGTGCAGTGGAGTTAATCCAGACTGTGAAAAATAATATACAATATTGCTAATTTTCTTATATTTATTATCACGTATATTTACTACGGTAAACGTTAGAAGTACCTAACGTAATAAGTAGTATATAAAGTTAAGAGTGATTGAAAAGAGAAGAAAAGGTTGAAAATGTCATACCTCAGTCGTAGCTTCGATGCTCGCTTTGTGCTTCAGGAGGAGTTCGACGACCTTTATACGATTCTTCTTGCATGCGATATGAAGAGGGGTAAATCCGTTGAGCGCTCGTGCATTGGGATCAGCGTTTCTGTCAAGAAGTAGTTTAGCTACGCGTACGTGGCCGCAGTGTGCAGCCACATGCAGCGCAGTCAAATAGTCCACCGTCACTTCATCTACGGGTGCACGGTGGTACAATAAAATTCTCGCGGCGTCAACGTGATCCCCTTGAGAAGCCATGTGTAACGGGGCAAGACCATTCTGTCAACAGAAATCAAGTGATAATTAATGCGGAAAAATATTTTGTCAGCAAGACGTACATACGAAGTCGATTTATACCTTCGTTTTTGAGCCAATGGGTGCCCCCTTCTCAATGAGAATATCAACTACTTCGTGGTGGCCTGACCTGGCCGCGCAGTGGAGAGGAGTTAGACCATCCCTCGTTTTCGCTTCGATGTTTGCTCCTTTGCTCATGAGGAGATTAACCATTTTAATCTTACCCCATTTCGCCGCCACGTGCATTGGTGTGATATTGTGCTGCAATTGTAAAAAGAGTAAGAGTTTAGAACACTTTGATGTTTTAATTCTTCTTTCTCTACAAAAGTTACGTACCTTCGCCGCGAAATTAACATCCGCGCCTCTGTCATAAAGCAAGGAAGCGATTCGATCGTTGCCATAATGTGCGGCTATGTGAAGCGGGGTGAAACCGCTTTTCGATGTTACATCGGGATTATGGTCGTTCTGTAACAGGAGGAAAATAAAAGAAATTATATACGTGAAACTAATTTCTACCCAATTGTTGTATTACAGTATCGTTTAAAATAAGAGTCGCAAATGACATAGCGTTACGATAACTCACTTGTAAAAGTAGGGCAGCCGCCTTGCAGTCGTCTTTCTTTGCGGCGATGTGTAGGGCAGGCAGTCGAACTTTACCGCGGGTGTCATTTTCTAATAGAACAGCCACTACCTTGTCGTGACCCTGTTGCATAGCCACCGCCAATGGAGTGAAACCGTCCTAAACGAGGAAAAACACATATATTTAGTATTTATTAAAGCAGATTATTGAATAATAATTTAATTTGAAAAAATTAAAATAAAAAAGATATATAAATAAATATATTAAGTATTTAACAAATTTGACAACGACGAGAATTCGCCGAGAAATGATGGAACAGTGTTTCACACGAACCTCGGTGGCCAACGTTTGATTCGCACCCTTGCTGAGGAGGTACTTGACCACGGAATCATGATTCTCCTGGGCAGCCATGTACAGCGGCGTGAACCCATTTTGCGATTGTGCATTCACAGAAGCACCTCGTTGTACCAGCAATTGTACAACCTCCTCTTGTCCAGCTGAAAGAAGATATCGGTGTCACGCGAATTATTCGTCTCGTTTCGCGACGCGAGATATCAGAGACTTCGCAAGCCTCGCGAGAGAGGTAAATGTTTATTTAAAATTCGCGTCCTTGTCCTGTATGCATTTAACGAGCGACGAGGTCCATGCGAGAAGAGATAGGATGAGAGGGAGAAAGGGAGACACAGGCAGAGAGACGAGAATGTGTGCACGCTTACCAAGAGAAGCTATGTGCAATGCCGTGTTTCCCTTTTTGGTAGCGGCGTCCACAATTGCGCCGCGATTTAGGAGTTCTCTCACGATCTCCAAGTGGCCATCCTTAGCTGCCAGATGCAAAGCGTTTAAGCCATTCTGCAATATATAAAATTCATTATTATCGTTAAGGAACTTCTCGAGATTCAGATAACACACGCGGAAAACAGCAGATCAATGACTTACGGCGTTAGAAGCGTTGATATCAACTCCGGACTCCAGGTATTCCAAGACCTTCTCGAGTTGCCCAGCACGAGCTGCTCGTAAAAATGCAGTACTAGGATCGCTCTGAAAAAAAAAGATGAAATACATGCCACTTTATATGTAAATGATTCGAATGAAATTTAAGAAGCCTTCATGTCTCTCGCACTCGCATTCTTTATATTCGTATGCTTCTTTTTCTTCATTAAATCGGATAAATTTGAATACATATACGCTCGTTAAATAAATAAATTTAAATATTACAACCACACGTATCGAAGCGAATATCGGAATAAGTAATGCTCATTCAAGGTTCTCTTTTGCAACTTTCTCGATTCCTTTCTTTCTCTTTTCTCTCAAGACTCAAGTTCAGCGATCATCTTATTCTTCCTTTTTATCGTTAATTTCCCGAGAGTAGGACATAAAAATATATTCTGAAACTTACTTTTCATAAAAAAATATTTTACTTTCCACTGTTACTTTGTAAAAGGAAATTTAAGTTTGAAAACAAAATGTTACACTTCTGAATCTTCATAGATTTTTCAATCAAAATTTATGAGAGAAAATTGAATTGGATCCTAATAAGATTAGAAGCTTTTTTATTCGGTTCGTGAAAATCGTGTGTCGTAAACAACAGTGCAAATTTAAAGGCTCTACAGCGAATTAAAGTTTATCACGTTTCTTCAGATACTCTTGGCACATTTCTGCGACATAATTAGTCTACAGCGACATAATTAGATTACAGGAATGCAAGGACACAGGGTAGGTGTAGAGTTCTACGGGCAAATGCATTTCTAGGAATTAATTAGATATAATCTGCTATGAGAGGGAAAAAGAGGAAGAAAGAGATTATCCCACGTACATGTCGCATAAATACAGACGCATAAAACATAAAATGTCACAGTTAAAGATTTTTTCCAAGAACATATATAAACACGCTTCGAAAACGTATTCAAAAATTTTTTTAACAATAGAATTGTTGGAAAGATCTGATTAGTTAATTAACTCCTAGAAATGCGGCGAACGGTTCCGTGAATTTCTCACGGAAGAAGATTTCAAACGATTATTGCAATTGGTGCAACTAAAAAGTCTCATGGTTAAATCGTAAACTTCTCTTGACTAATGACTTTAGAATAGAATAATTTCTTGTGTACATTCTTTTTCTTTATCTATTTGTTCTCGATATTTTTAATACATGTAAAAAATAATTCGGTCGTAAACCGTGTCCCATTTTTGTTCTGATTTTCTTGTCAATCGTGTTTAATACAATCGACACTAATTCCGGGGAATAGATGGGCTGTGCTAACCGGTTTATTTCGGATCGCACAACGCGTGTTGGTAATTAGCTGCAGATTTAGAACGTGGGGCGCCGCGCGGTCTGTATAAGAGCTGACAGAAATCCAGCTCTCGCTGTCCGGCTTCTCTGGCTCCCACCCTTGAGTCGACCCCTTCTTTCCCGTATTCGAACCCTCGTATTCAAGATCACCAAGTGGATATACATATGTATACCAGTGCAGATACTCCCTATGTCGCCGCGACCTACAACTGATTCTACAGGATATTGCAGAGCCACCGGACGTGCCTTTTAACCGCAGCTTCTTTTCGACCACTTTAGTAGTCATTTAATACCCTTTCAATCCTATTGTACACTCTCGTAGCTACATCTTAAATTAAAATTCTACTTTAAATATCAATGCGAGTCGAAATTGACGGAAAAATATGATGCTGTCATTAATCTTCTCGCTCCTAAATCTTACTTCGCCAGAAGATCGTGGGCGCCTGAATGTTTTCGTTGAGGAAAGATTCCAAATTGACCAAAAAATTTATAATGAAAATAACATTCAACGGTTTTGAAAACATCCTGTATCAGCCGAGATATACTAGTCTGGCTAGTTCGCACGGGATGAAAGCCAAGTCAAACCCGAGTCAATGGACCTAAAGTAACCGCATGTTCTGCTCCCGCGGAGGACAATAAATATCGAGATTGTTACGATCTCCAACTAGACTATTGCGTAAATATCCTCGGGTGGTACGCCGAGACAGAAACTGCGTCAGTGTAACAAACGTAAATATTTGTAGCATGTAGCATGCAGTTGCAAAAGCCTCGCCATTGAAGCCATAAAATGCAGAGGACAAGAGTAATCTGCTGAAGTTTCGAAGTGATATACAGCTTTCTAGTATAAATCCGATCCTATTAATACTACCGAGAGATAATCCTTACATGTATAAATAATTTAAGTCTCTCTCGCGCGGTAAGGGTAAAAACTTTATTAAATATTTAAAAAAAAGGAGACATATTTTGGACAGTCTATAATTCGCATTGAAATTTTCAGAACATAATTTTATCTCTATTTTTACGTGCTACATATTTTGACATAGGTATACATATATTTTGTATACGTATATGCATTCTGATTCTTCGAATGTTTTTCGTAGCTTACGGGACATCTAAAGTTATAAATAGAACACGTCGCAAATTATGCAGACGAGCGGACCTTTGTGTTTCGTGGCCGTGATTAACCTCGGAAATATATACAATCTTGAGCATCGGATTGTTCGCGACCGTTACATAAAATATTGCGTGCAGAAACGACGCAAACCAGGCAAGTTCTGTGCGCGCGGTGGGAGTAGTAACGGTGAACCTATTGCAGCGTACCGCGAGACCGTAGGTGGTTTTGCCGAGACGCAAACGTTTTATCGTCATGCGCTCGAAGCACACGCCTGACGATAAATCGATAGTCAGTTCTTCGCTGCTCTTGTGCTTGTACACGACTTTTCTCATCGCTTTTTGCTAATGTCGAGTGTAATTTACGCGGGAAATAAAATTTTTTAGGTCCTCAAGGTAATTAAGAATCATTGTCTTAAATACCGATATTATTAAATAAAATTCCATTTGTTAATGCAACAATTTCGTGTTTCAAATGACAGGAGGAGAAAACGAGAAAACTGTGCACATTGTTTTATTTGTTAAAAAAAATTAATATTTAGAACAATCTTGTATTCTGTACTATATACTGCGTGTTTTTTGCCGTAGCAAAACTTGAGAAAAATTGTGACAACATTATTACATTTATTTAAAACTTATATTGTAAGTAAACGGTTGAAGAGAAATCTACCGTCGTGAAACGTTGATCTGAGATTTCGAGAGAACGAGGCGTAAAGGTAGTGTCGAGTTACGTCCGTTTAATTCCAGAGTATCTCATTTCGCTTACTCTACAAAAGCGATTTATTTGTCAAGGCTTTGATACGCCAGGCAGAAATTAGAGATGCAAATATAGTTGGCGTCGCGGCGGTCATTATCGCGTCTAATCGCATTGCGTAAAACTTGCTTACGGTAATGTATTCCAATAAATAAAACGAATGCTTCGACCTTTTTTACCGGCCAGATACGAGGCGCGAATCGACTGACTCGTGATCTGACGCGACGTGTCGCATCAACTTGCTGGCGAGTGACGCGACATTTTTCTGAATAGTCAACAGGCGTGGTATCTCTCGTATAAATAAACTTGTGTTGTATTCAGGCACCGCAAGACGTATACTTGATTCACGCCGGACAGAATGTTGAATGATAAATGCACAATACATGCTCCACCTTGGGCGCCTAGACGCATTATGAAAACATTTTCTAAATTGAGATCATAGAGAGCGAGAAAAGTAGAGAATAAGAAGAGCAGCTTCTTTTAAGTTTTGTATATTGAGTTCTATAAGCAACAAGTAATCGTTTTTAAAAAAGAAAGGATAAAAAAAGGAACAGAATGTTGAAAGTGCATTTTTCAAAGTCTGCTTTCGTAACGAAGCGTTACGTCACTACTCAAGATATTTATGTTAAACGCATCTCATCAGCAATACTAATTTCTTTATCGTATATTTAAGGAAAAAAAACATGTGATATTTATAGAACGACTCAGTAGCGCGATATATAAGACGGCGAACTTGTGACAAACTGTCTACAATGGAGAAAGCATCGGCTATATTTGATCCTCCTTGGTACGCAGAAGCTGACGAAAGTATTTACGAGTACACGCCGGTGTTGTGTACGCAAGGGAATCTGCTTCACGCAAGCAGCACCGGCGTGTCTTAAATAATTCAGCAGACCGTTAGTTCCTCATGTGAAAGAAAGATATCCCCTTCCGCGTCCGCTTTCTTACCGCTCTCTTTCTGTGTTCTCTCACTTTCTTTCAAAAGAGGGAAGAACTTCCACTCGGTCAGTTTCCATTGACGTAAGAAAATAAGGAAACGCCGCGGAGGAAAAGCTACACGGAAAAAAAGAATACTGTTACCGCAGAAAATGTAACTGCTACTACATATACTCTGATGCTGATCAAACATTGCTGCCATAATCAATTATTTGATATCACAACAAAATCTGTTTCGTTGACATATCTTAAATAAATATGTACGTAGAAATAGATGAATTTGCTGCCAAATGTATTGAATAATACATTTTGCTGTCGCAGTAAAACAATCTGTTATTATAAAACTGAAATAATTTGTAGATTCAGCAAATTATTTTCAGCAAACTTTTTGCAAACAGCAAAAGATTTTCTTTACAAACCTTAACGGAAATGATATGGATTTAAAAATTAATTGCATAGCATAGTCGAGAAAATCAACCGTTCGATCGAAAAGTTTCTTGATAACTCTTACTTTCTATTGAGTGTACATAGTCAGTCGTAAGAAAAGGGTAGCTTCCATTTATAGTGCGCGTAATGCGAATCGACACACTTTTCTTTAAAAGGTATAAATTAAAAGGAAACTTGTGCTCGCTCATCGACTCTCAGAAATCGAAAGCAATCTACTGTGATAAAACGTCTCGTAAATATCTCTGCTGTTAAATTCGCAATGTTTAGTCAATAACTACTTGCGGATAAATATTTAACAAAGTACAGTACGCTCGAAACTTCTCTCGTGTGCGCACGAACAGATACAGTTAAGGTATTTCTTTAGCTCCTCCTTCGAATTCGAGACGCGCGAATGCACTTAAGATGTTGCGTGCATGCCGAAAGTGCCTGAAGTGCTCTAAAGACGTCAATTGCACGTCAATTACGTAACACGATTGATAACTTTATTGTATTAAATAGATACGT